GTGTCATCCTTTGACACCCTACAGATTGACTCAAGCAAAGTTCTGTGATTCTTTAAAATATTTGTTCTGCCGGCATTCTTGGTGATCGAACAATGTGCCGTTGTTCACCCATGTAGGACTCAAACGGAAAGGCTGAATATAGGTCCAGCGCACCCGTAATTCGTACACTGTCAGTGAGGTGAGTCAGACAATGCGTATTGTACACAATCTCTTGCTCACCGTAAATTCCTGCAAACTGGTTGAGTAAGTTGCTGATCATCTGTTGAACAAAATCCGCATACCGTTTACATTCAATGGGACGTGATAGCAAGTACAAGCAGATGGAGAAGCTCAAGAAGTTCTCATACTTACAGTCTTCCAGCCTTCCAAAATGACTGGCCCGATATACAATAGAAATTGACGAAATTCCGTTGCTTTCCAATTTTCAAAATCATCGAAACCCCGACACTTTCGTTAGAAGCCGCAGGGTAGACGAGATCGAACTTCATCTCAACAATCCGATATTCGGCGAAAGTCTGTAGCAGTAATTCTGGCATTGTTATCAATAGGTTCTGTCCTCCACAGTTTCAGTAGACACTTACAGAACCTTAAACAAACCAAATGCATGTATTCCAACGGGAATACGTGTACCGTATCCATGGTCAGAAGTTCGAATGGTGATTCCACTACGTGATGCGCTTCGTCCCTTCTGGTTCGGAAACTTTGATCAGTTCACTGTTCACATTGGTCTGGTGGGAACATCGCCTTCTTTCCATCATGAACACCTACTGTTGTGCACCTATCACAGGAGCTATAGCCAATGTCACAACTGATTTGCTTGACAAGGGATCGACCTGGAGCATCACAGATGACGCAGTCCAATTTAACAGCTACACATGTTCCTGGATGGTTAACGGATCCCGGCCGTTTCTATTTGACGTAGTTTTCGGATGATAAGAGTGGGGAATTGTATGATGTTCATCGGTTTGCTCATTCCGCAGTACACTCCGATGAGGAAAACTGATGTCCGTGGTTGAGCAATACAAGTACGGGCCATAATTGCAATCGTGAAATGTGAAACAAATTTAGTCCGTCTATGGCTAGCTGTAATCGCACTATCATGGATTCATGCACAGTATGATCAATTAGGACTCGATCCGTTGATTCCGCCAAACCAATATGTACGTAGTGACCACCAGACACTGGAATAGATTTGGTTAACCGCGGAGTCTGGAGTAGTGTTCGACTATCCTTCGTAGGATCTGGAAACCGTGTTCGCATTATTCGCAGCATGACGTTGACGGTACTTGCAGACATCTTTTTTTCTAAAGCTAGACGACGGCAGAGATCCAGCATTGATGGAACCGGGGCTACGGAGGAATATGATTTAAACGAAGATTATTAATTACCTGAGTCAGCCTCAATGTTCGACAAAATCCTATATCTTTCAGTAGACGTGGATTGGGTCTCACGTTCTTCATAACACAATCCGTCCTAACAGTGATATAAGGGCAAATTACCAATAAAGTAAACAGATAAGCTTGTAACATCTTCCGGAAGTAGATTCACAGCGGACTCAGCTGAGTCCGTATCTAGAATTTTGAAATGGAGAGACTAAATGAATTTATTTGCTTAACTTACAATTTCCCTCCGATTGTGTGAATGCCCTACTTTATATCATGAAGATCAACTAATGTCAAATGCTGTTGAGCAGATGGTTTTAGAAATAATAAGGTCATAAGCGTTTACAAACATAAAACTGAACAGAGTGTTCAACAGTTTCACGGTACTAGGGAGAAATTCCATACAGAAACCTGAAAGGGGTCATTAAACGCTTGAGCTCGATGGGAAAGGGAAAAGGACCAAGGGGAGGGAATTGCCTAAATAAGTTGAGAACAGCAGCAACCAGAATAGTAATTGGTCAGGTCAGGTCAGGTTGCACTGGACAGGAGATGACCACGGCCAATCGAGTGTCCAGAGTTCCTTCGGTGGTAAGCCATGTGTTGGCCCCTATCACTGCGACTGTTCTATTTTGTAGTTCTACACGTTTTCTTCTCGTCCCAGTCGTCTCCGCCTCTGCAAGGGAAGAGAAAGGAAAAAATCTCCCCTTGTTCAGGCGAGAGACCTCACATTTGGAAGTGTTCCCCTGTTGGGGTGGTTAGTAACTGAAAAACCTACTGCTGTTTCCACATCTTAACTTACGCGTCTACTTTGGGAATTAAGTCCAGCCAGCGCCTATCGAGCTCCTTCCTGAAAGAATTTACGCCCCCTAGTTCCACCAGCTCCTGTAGTAACATATTCTATGAATTGACTACCCTGTTGCTGAAGATGTGTGAGCGCACCGCTAGTCGCGTACGCAATTTCTTCAGTTTGTACATGTGCCCCTAAAGTAAAGTTGATTATTTGGACTAACAAGAGGATTTGCTTGTAGAAAAAAGATAACTATTCAGCTGCCCTGCGATGGGAAAGTCGACTGCAGATCTTTAAAGACGGTTCTTAGAGCATTTGGATGACCTTCTTTTAAACACGGTTGTGAACAATTGAATATGAAGCATGGCCCATAGGTGACTATGGTAATTGGATGAATCTGGTTCCGGAATGCGCTGAGTCGTACATCTGAATGCCACGTATCCAGGTTTCGAATAGGGAGACGGCCCCTTTGGTGGTTAGCTGTGAATAGGTGGGGCCAATTTACCAAATAGTCGGTCTCGACGATCAGCGGCTATTCTATAGAACGTGGTGGATATTCATGCGCGTGTAATTTACTTACAAGAGTCTTGACGAAACCCTCGTTTTGCTAATAAGTTCATGCCCAATGAAGTCTTCAACTTGTACAGACAGGACCGAGTTTGTAGAGCTAAACATTTGAAGATGTGGCTGTCTGCATCAACACTTCTTGTTGTAGCAAGCCAGAAATCGTTTATTTGTACTCGTGTAAGATTAATAACGGTTCATATTGTCAGTTTCAACGTAAATTCTCTAGACATAAAAGTAAATTTGTGACGTTTCGCGTGCAAAATACTCGTCTTTCCTTGAATCACTTATCCTTCTTGCTGCCCACAAACGAATCATGGGTTTTTCTTCCTTTTATAAAGATCGTGGTACTGTGAGTTGTTTGACCCAGTACGGCTCTATATGTAATATGCAATGCTGACCATGCTGTTGACACTGTCCCATCAATTTGACATGCTTTCCCTTGAAAACCACCTTTCTCATGATCACGTAGCCTCTTCCACACTGAAATCGTCAGAAATTTACAAGGAACATCTCTACGAAGCTCGGGATTCATCAAATTTCAGACATATTTCCCCAAAAATAACAAAGGATATTAAATTTCCTCTGTCAGCTCTTAAGCTGCCTCGACAAAAGACATCTGTGGAAATACATCCGGCTTCCACATGGACGAAAACCTAAATCAGCAATGCTATTCACCTAATATAGTTTCATAGCGAGGTGTTCAAGGTACATCGAACAATGAAAATAACCAAAGGTATTGGTTCTAACGGTTTAAAGCGTAGTGCTGTTGCTCTAATGGGTGCTTTTTCTTGCTTTCTTTACATCCTTGAGCACACTTTGTATCCCCTTTACTGGAGATCATTCACAATTATTCACATTCCTAAACCCAGTGAATTTATTATTCTGAGCAAAAATTTGATTCATTGCATCTTAAATCGGCAGAACGTGCCATTCTCAAGTGTCTGATTTTTCTTCCAGTAATTACAAAGACCCTCTTCAGATTTATTGAAAACAAACGGGTCCACTTTAAATTCCTCCGCGTACCTGGTTTAGCATCGAACTAAGCTCTTGGACGCATCTTTGAAGTATACTTTTCACCTTCTGTTGACTCCGCTTCATGTTCCCTCTTCCGTAGACTGATACTATTTGACTGGTTACAAAGACATCCAAACCACTCGTGAGCAATTCCAAAGTGCTTCAGGGAGCTCTTTTCTCATACCTCTTTTTCACCAGTGTTGGTGACCTATTGACGATTTCCGTAGCTCATGTGTGTGTAAACATGCCGAGTATGTAGCTCTTTGTCTACCTATTTCTGTGACTAAAATTTCTCAAATTTCTCCACCAATCTATCCCATATTTGTCATTTTTTTGTTCTATCTGGATTCACCATCAGTTTATCAAAGGGCTTCAAATAAATATTTACCGTCCCAGTTTACCTACCGTCACAATTTATCTATGATAAATACTGAACGTTTAACTATAGAAGATGCCGTTCAATACCTAGGAGCATCTATCGACGTGTTAAAACACGCACCTTTTCAAATACAAAGACCTAAACGGTTCAGTCTCAAACAAGAAATTTCACTTTTTATTGATTAGTTTGCTTTGCCTATCCCCATTTATTGTTTCCCTGTAGCTTTGGACGGTTATATTAGAGAAAACTACAATTCTTCGCTGCGGATTGCTAATGATCAGTCGTACCTTTTTTATAACTTGATAAAATCTCGACAAAACTGTATGAACTACACTTGTCTTCGTATAAAAGTTTGCTTGGACAGTCCTTTGTAACCCCCTTCGTCTTCTAAATTATAACCTATCCAAGTGTCACTCAGCCTTCAACACATTCCGTGTATCGTTTCTTGTTTTTCCACATTATTACCTACGTAAACTTCACCTCTCCTTTTCTCACGGGTACCGGTTTCTGCTGAGTTCCGCACCAACGTTTTAAGGCTTATTATTTCATTTCATTTTTGTGAAATGAAGTGTAACTTTGTCGAAAGTGGACATTTATACACGAAAGAGTTTTAAAAGTGTTCGTGACGCAAACGTTTTTATCTTCAATCATATTTTTACTTTCGCCACGAAATTAATTCCTTTTGCTTATTTCAGAGGACCTGAACAAGGAAATCTCCCGTATAGGTCTTTGATTAGCTCCTCTAACAATGGAAAATCCGGTATGATTTGTACAAATCTTTATATTGCAATCCCAGATCTCCGCGCCGTCGCATATAATTAACTTTACTGATTTGGAACTTCATAAGACATGTTTCGCCAGCTTTGAACAAATGCGGCGGAGAGGAAAATTGTGTGACGTCACATTAATTGTAAGCTTTTTCTTACATTCATTCTCACATAATAGTCGGAAGCACGCCGATTCGCGGCACACAAAATTGTGCTAGCAGCAACAATCCCTTTTTTTAATGGCATGTTTCTCAGTAACATGTCTGAAGCAAATAAAAATGAAATATCCATCTTAGGCCTCGATTCTTGGTAAGTTGTCATTTCTTCTCATGTCCTCAAAATTTTAGCGCCCTAGAGGTTTTTATTGGTTTTGCCTATTCCGGTTCTATTCAAATAACTCCATACAATGTTCAGTCTTTATTAATAGGAGCCAGCTTTCTTCAACTCAATAGCATTCGGGAAATTTGCTGCAAGTACATTGAAGAAAGGTGAGTCAAGTAGTAATTCTTTATTGGGTACCTGCATCTCTCATTTTGCTGTTGTTCGTTTTTTTATTCTCTCAGATATTTGTATGTTTATATTCATGTCAATCTACGCCAAAGTATCATCATTATCATCATTTTACAGCGTAATAAAGTGTGGTGAACTTCACTGATCGCTGCCAAAGTATGTATTTGTTTGATGGACGGGTACTGCCAGGTTATCCAGCCACTAAGCAGGAGAATGATTAGGATTCTCGTCCAAAGCCTTCAGTTCTGCCATGAACCTAACCGCAAGGCAGCGGGTAAAGTGGGTTAGAGGTCCATTTAGTTGGATCTATTACTTCCCTACAATTTTACCGACTGAGACGCTAGCTCAAGCCAACCCCCCAAAATGGATGACCAAGAGACTGGACTTCGTCTGACCTCTACCCTTCGACCTTCCAGATATGATTAGATCTGCGGCTTAACAAAAACCGTCATGTGTAGCTCGTTGGGTAAGAGAGGTACACAAGCCATCACACCACGTTAAGTTGTAGTTTCGTCGTGATAACTGGTGGAATCTCGACGAGTTCCCTATCCTATCGATCAAAGTTTCAACTCACGTAAGGTAGTTACCACAAACCTTTAATCACAGTAATCGCAAATATGAAGAAAAGCCAAAAATAGTTTACCACAAACCCGTTCTAATAACTTCGCAAGGAATTGCACTGGGAATAAATCACTCTATTGATATACATCCGGTAGGTTGAGGGTATATCACTAACTAACCTAGTCGCTTGAAACCAGTGACTGTGTTGGTGATAGACCGTTCTGCCGTTGCTTCGAGGTAGTACCACCATCTAGCCGTCAGAAACTTAGTGGTCCCAAAGCTATGTTTCAACGAACCGTACATCAAACGACATTACTAATTGTTCACACTCTATTCACAGGAAAAGCATACGACTTGAACGATAACGTTGATTCTGCACACTGATTTCCTCACTCTATTTCCTCTCTTGTTCCGGACGGCCAAAGTAAGATCTGGTATGAGTATACGAATACCCTGACCAAAAGAATATTTCACACACGTTTGAGACTATGTGCCAATCAGCTCACGGTACAGTAATCTTTATAAAAAGATTTTCTCAAGGGCACGATACTGCTAGATTGCCCATGCGAAGCAGTTGAATTTTATTAAGGAGTTCACAACTGGAACATTCATCTAGTTTAACCCTGACCCGCAGCGTAGCGCGGCGGTGGGTGAAAATCGCAATCTATTGATGGTCGGTGTCTAGTTCATCGGATCCTACGCCGTTTGGACGGGGTTCAACATCCTAGATGCCCATTATCATCATCCTCATCGTACTGCGAAATACCGTGAAGCGAACTTCACTGACGCTGCCAAACTCAATGCATACAAGGTTAGTGGTAAAACTTAAGGTGGACAGGGGTTGGATCTATTTTGAGGAAGGGAAAAGATGAGCCACTATGGTGAACACACAGA